GGAGAGCGGCGGCGGGCAGGGCGCTCCGCCCGGCGGCGCTTCGCGGTCCGAGCTCGGTTTTCGGTGCGGTGCAAGCGTAAAAAGGGGAGAGGAGCCGGGGAGGGGAGGCGTGAGGGAGGGCTGAGGCAGGGCACGGAAGACGGGAGGGCTGCGGCGTTCGCTTGCGCAACGGGAGGGAGCCGGGGACGGCGAGGCGTCGGGCTGGGGAAGGGGTGGGTTGAGATCGATCGAGAGCAAGAGATCCGCATCCGAAGCATCGGGAGGGCTTGGGCAGGCACGGTCTGCTAAAGGAGACAAAACTTCCTTTAAAATGGCAAAAGACGCGGCCCGGTGAGAAATGCTGAGCCGGGCCTGTAGGGCACAGCAGACAGGTTCAGTGCCTTCACAGGTAAGTGACGATTAAAAATGGGTCCTTTCTACGCGAGTGGCAAAGCCACCTCACCTGGTCGTTTAGAAGTCATCAGCAGAATTTCTTCGGATTTTAGTTCTGCTCGTTTCGGAGGTAAGTTTTGTAATTTCATAAGATGACTATTGAACACAATGAATTACCTGCCATTTCCATCATTAAAACAGAATTGCCGTATTTCACTGCAGTTAGAGGATGTAAACAAAAAAAAGAGGTAATTACTAAAAACACTCCTGAAACCAGACATCCCCCTGCTCTCTAAAATATAAAGCATGGTAGCAAAGACTGTTGATCTTCTGAGACAATATACAGGCAAGTATTCTGCGGCTGATGTAATTCAGTCTGGAGTAATCAAAGCTACATGCTTAAGGATAAACCTACATAATGGAATTACGTGATTGTATCCATGCCTGTGCTTAGTCACCCTTGCACTCACCGTAATGCATGCATTTGCAATATCTGGTTCCAGTCGGCTGCTTTGGTCGAATCAAGTCATAACAGTTCAATGAGATGTGATTTCGGTTGCCTTCAACTGTGCAAAATAGCTCTTCTTTTTCTTTCTTAAAAACTTAAAACAACAGATGCTTCCTGAAAAGAAACTGGGTTGTTTTCAGTGCTCAAAAATAGTATGAGGATTGAAGGACAACATAAAGATACTATACTTTCTACTCATATGCAATACTGTAGCTAAAGAACTGATTTGAGAAAACAAAAAGTAAGTTTTTCCACAAAGGTGAAAGAAAGGTTTGAAAACAACAGAACTGCATCTTGTGCTGCTGCCACAGAAGGCTCTTCTCTGAGGAAATCCAAAATATGACAGTGGAATAAAAATTTGTTTGGCCAGCTAAAATTACTGTATTTTCAACCTGTTTTCTGGCACGGGCTATGGTATTGAGAAGAAAATGTGCACAAAACAGTGGCAATGGAAGTTGACACAATTCTGGAACAAATTCTGTACTATGGCTGAAGTGTCAAAGGATTAGCACTAGAGAGATGCAAGCACATATCCGTATGCTTACAAAACCCACACTGTATAATTTAGCTATATGGTTCATGGAGTATAGCATATTGTCTAGTAACATTCATTTTAATTGCACAATATTTATTGTGGATTTGATTAAATCTTGTCTCTCTCTGGAAAGAATGCAGGTAGGTGTACTTACACTTTCCTATACGTGCTAAAAGGGAAGCACACAATACAACGCTGAGTATGTGACAGTATCAGAGTACATGTAACATGGGAAATCACCTGCTGCATAAATTCTACACTGTCCTAAAAATGGCCTGCCAGGAATAATAACCATGATTTTAAGGCTGTGGATGTTTTCAGTTGTACTTCAGAGATTACTTCTTATTTCTGCATTTTGGAAAGAGACTTTTCATGATTGCTTTGAAGCTCCATGATTTCATTTAAAATGTTATCTCTTTACTGACGATAAAGCAAAGATAGCTGGACAATAACTACTGATATTAGCATACTTTTTAAAGAATTCAAGCTATTTTGAGAGGAAATGATAGATAATTATTGCCTTTTTGGAAAGTCAGGCTGCCCTGATATTAGGTTCCCTGTACTACAGAGGTCCATTGTTTTTTCAGAACTAAATGGTTATAGGTTGGAAGTCTGAACAAAATGATCTATAAAAAACACCCCCTTCGCCTCATTTCCTAGTTTCCTCTAGTCTTTGTCAATTTTATCAGTGATCCAGTATACATCCACCCTGCTGCCTTGGACATGCCTCCTAAGAAACTATCTTTCCAAAAGAGCTTATTTAACACCTTAGAGAACTCTATTCTCCATCTTATCGCTAAGATTTGTGCTTGAGCTTATATCTGTCAATTCTTCAGCAGCTACCCTTACATAGTATTAGCTATATAAAAGGTATTGTTTAATAATTTTTAAAAACGTACTTATCTTCATGTATATTACATTGGTTCTTATTTTAAAGATACACAGTTTATTATTTACTTCTGTTGAGTGTCCTGTAATAACTCATTTGCTACTAATTTAATTTAAATTAAAACTTCAGAACATTTACTAGTGCCATGAAATTTTGAATCACAGATTACTTTCTTCTAGACTAACAAGACCAAAAGGCACTTCAGTCACTGACCTTAAATTGATTAGTTACGTGAAGCACGTAATCTCTATCTTTAAAATGTTTTCTTCATACTACATTGCATTTCACTTAGAATATAATATTTCAACAATACTTTCACTATTTCTCTCTCTGCAGAAGAGCTGGTAACCAGCGGAGAAGATACAAAAGCTGAAATCACTATGTGGAGCTGTGAAACCTTAAACAACAGTACCGAGAACAGCGAGGACCAGCACCTCTGCCATGACTTCCACCTTGTGCTTTCCATCTTTTCCCTACTCTACCTCATTATATGTTTCCCAATCGGCCTTTGTTACAATGGCTTGCTGGTCCTAGTTAATCTCTATAACAAAGCTACTATGACTATGCCAGATGTTTACTTTGTCAACATTGCCATTGCTGGTCTCATCATCAACGCTCTGGCACCGGTGTACCTTCTAGGTCTTGCCAATATGAAATGGGCCATCTGGAATTCCAACAATGAAGTTTATATTACCTTACTTATTTTGTTCAACGTCTCATCTTTAGTTACCATGTACTCTACTACATTGCTCAGTCTGGACTACTACATTGAACGTGCTCTACCTAGAACTTATATGTCAAGCGTGTACAACACCAAACACGTTTGTGGATTCATATGGGGTGGTGCCATGCTTACAAGTTTTTCATCTCTCCTGTTCTATGTCTGCAATCATGTATCCACTAAAATAATTGAATGTTCCAAGATGCAGAACAAAGAAGCAGCAGATGCCATTATGGTCTTTATCGGGTATGTTGTACCAGCTATCGCTGTACTGTATGCACTTACATTAATCTTGCGAATACGCAAAGAGGCTACACCGCTGGATCAAGACACTGGACGATTAGATCCATCGGTGCACAGGCTTTTGATTGCCACAGTCTGTACGCAGTTCACGTTATGGACACCCTATTACGTTATTCTTTTGGTAAGCACATTTACTAATGCACAAGGAAGAATTGCAGATGAAAACTATAGTCGAATATTACATTTTACCAAGATTTTATCAAAGTTCTTGGCTTTCTCAAGCAGCTTTGTAATGCCTCTGCTCTACAGATATATTAACAAAAACTTTCCCAACAAATTACGACGCTTGCTTAAAAAGATACACTGTGGGAATCAAGGGTGTTCTCATGAACGCACAGTAGTACAGCAAGTTATGACGTAGGTATGAAAGAACACTCTGGTGCTCTGTTACTGCAGTACTTCGCATACTTCGTACTGGGACTGTGATATTGCTGTGGAGTCATTAATGTGAGAGTCCCAACCAAGAGGCTAGAAGGAGTTTCCATTACAGTTAAATGAAACAGTCTTAATTTTCAAATAGTTAATTGTTCGCTGAAACCTTGTGAGACTCTGGCCTATGTGCTGTAATAACCTGTGACATCTAATACTTGCTGTGCACTGAATTAGTTACAAAGCATAAACTCTGTCTTCATTGCTCTAATATTCCTGTCTGAAGAAATCACTAAGCAGTTTATTGAAGTCTTGACTGAAGACACAGCACCTTGTATCTTGTATAGAAAAAGGTATTGCCTTGTTTTCTGTACAAAGAAGTAATAGTGCTATCCTTGATGAAGTAAATACCTTTTTTCAATGAAGATGATACAGATGATCTTTACTAAAGATCATAATATCCAATTATACATGTCCAAATAGTAAATGTTAATTATAAATTATTTAATGTCTTTCTCCATCACTGAATCCCCTCTAAAAGAAGCCTAATTTACCATTTCCAGAAAATATTTTCTCATACAAGCTCAACTAAGTTTTAATGTTTAAATTGATTTTTTCTAGAGATAACAATTAACAAAAACATGGTTTATTTTTCCAGTACTTTGTTTGCATCCTAAAACATTTCAAGAATTCAGAAATATTTATTAACTAATTCTAAGGGAACAGAGAGATGTTTGTTCCACATATTAAAATGAAGGACGCTGGTTTACAAAGTTAAATCAAAATCTATCTAGTAAAGATTGTCTGGCTAAGTATTATGGTCCACCTATGTTCATGTAACGAGAGTAATCTTAAAAGTATCTTAAAAATAAATATGTTTATGATTAACATTTTGTATTTTCAAGGGATATATTTGCAACAAATAAATTAAAATCTCTTTAACCTAGGGCATCACTGGAGGTTTGGAAGCCATACAAGATCCCTCAACACATACAAGGTTTTAGAATGGGCGTATTATATAGGAATCCCAGTCAGCATCAGCTTCTTGCTGACCTCTCAGAGATAAGAGTGCCTCCCAATGTGATTCTTGAATACACAGTAAAAGTACAGTTTCTGTATTTCACAGTGGGGATGAAGAAATCCAATCCAGATTGCCAAATTTTACCGAGTGTATGAAATACGTAAGAAACACAAATGTGCTGCGGGAAGCAAATTAACAGTTACCCACAACAGCAAACTATGAACGTTGACCCAAGAACCGCCTGTTCCTATGCTGTTGTTGCATTATTAGTGACGGAGGGGGGTAGAAGTTAAACTCATATTCTCCCACTGGTTTTGAGGCAGTAAGACATCTTTGTCACTCGCCCTGCAACACAGCAGAATCATTTCGTTGCTTAATCTGTCATAACTGAAATTCCACATGACTTTATTAAAAAAATGTGGCTTTTCAAGCCTCTGGTATAGAAAAAACATGGAACAAAACCAGAATTAAACCTTTTCCTTTGCTTATAGCACGATCTCATCTGATAATTGGTCCTAATTTGTCAGCATAGAGACATGTTTAAGTTCTAAGTGGGAAGCAGGTGAGAAATAGCCTTTTCCGATCTTTTCCCTTCTTTTCAATATTATTCAAGTAATTTCTTCTCATAGCCATCTTTGCTTATCTTCTTCATATACAAGCATCTCTAAGTTATCAACATCCTGGTTGGAGACTCTCCATTAATCTTTACTTCTTTAATAGCTTTTCATATTTTATTGATTTTTTTTTTAACCCTTAAACCCTATACAGTAAATCATCTATTTCTGTGGCGCTTTCCCCACACAAAAACTATCCAGCACAACTACATCAATTTACTTTATTGTTTTAGCCTGTTGATGAAAACGACGTTAAGGAATGAAGCCTTTCTTTATCATTGTGTCCGATTCACACACTAATTTATAGTGCCTCTGTGCTGACAGGATACTGGCTGCTTTGGTTGGTTTTTCTTCCCCTTGAGAGGTGTTCTGTGGATTTCTATGCATCTTGAGCATTCAAACTCACTTCTACACAGAAGTGCTTAAGAAAGAAATCCTTCCTTACAGCTGTCAAGCAAATAAGCTCCTCTTCTTCCCATCTGAGGAAAATTAGGTTTCCTAATACACCACATTAAATCTCTCAAGTAAAATCTGTTAAAGAAATTCTGTCCCATTATGCAGGAAAAATTCCAGCAGGGAGGAACTGGCTTATCTGGTGTAAGTAGAGGCTTCCAGAACTGGGATACTGCCAGAACAGTGTGGCTGAACAGGCAGCATTAAGTGTAATTTTAACTTCCACATTGCTTTCTTACTTCCATTTCCCCCTTCTCCTAAGACATCATACTTTCTAACAGGACTGTTGCATTTATTTCTGTTCCTTTCTCTCCATGTTAAACTCCCAGTTTCAGGTCACGGCTGTTATAATTTCTCTTTATCTTCTTCACTTCTCTGTGCTATTTATTTAATTTTCCTTCTGCTGCTCTGTTTCCATCTATGCTTGGTCTTGTACACTCAGTACCGTTCACCACTCACTTCATTTGACTCCTTTATGATGACCCAAATCTTACTCAATGATTTGACATTACAAATGGATTTATGTAGTAAAATGGAAGCTGCTGTTTAAGAGATGGAGAAAGAACAAGTTTTTATATAATTTACGCTTGAAATATCAATTTTTATTTTTTCTCCTAATTTTTTTATTGCAAAGTATGTGTGGATGTATCCCTGATAATATAATGTGATGGCAATCATATAGACAACTTTCATAATTTAATGAACAAGACTGATATCCGCTCAACTTCTTTTAGGAGTTAATTTGATATATTAGTTGCCTCAAAGAAACTGTGCCACGGAGCTGCCTAACTGCTGTTCTCTTAAGGAAATTCTGAACTTAATTGCAGCACCCTCACATGGTCTCTCTTAAAAAGCAGTATCCCAAAAAACTACAACTTTCCAATATTTATGTAAAGAACGGTAGCTGAGCAAGTGCAGTGAAATACTTAATGAAATACATGGCATCATAAATATGGAAGAACTTTTATGAACAAATCTTTAATATACAAAGTTCTCAAGAATGGGGCCCTTCCATTTCAAATACCTGAAGGTTTCTGATGACTGTAAATAGGGGCTTATCTATTTTGCATTTAAGTAAATATGAATAAAATACTGTATATATGCAAGATAAAAATCAGCCTACTGATGTAAAAAGAATTTGCAAAGAATTTATTAAATTATTTCTTAAAGTGTATCATTTAAATGTAAACCTCTGAACAGTAAAGTGTACTGTATGTTTCTGTATGTATATACTGTATACTAGAAAGTAAGCACTAGTTAAGTGCCATTATTAACAGTGTTATTTTCTCACAAAATTAAACTTAATATTTGAGTTGATCTATGGCTTATAGGCCTCTTGCTGAACTGCCAATTAAGTCAGATCAATGAACTAAAAAAAATGTTGCGCTCTGCTTCTGCTTGAATTAGTAACACAGCTAGCTCAAGACAGGTCCTTGTTGACTAAGCTAGTAGAGGTTCTTGTTTCAAAAGTTTCCATTTGAGAATCGAGTTGGTCTCTGAAGACATAATTTCAGTTAATGAAAGAAAGCGATCAACCACTAGAAAATTTCTGGTTCTATTAAAATGAAGAGATGTAGCCTCCAATATTATGTCAAAATACTATAGAAATGGACTTTCTGCAAAGCTTCACAAAGGAACTATTGACTCATAATAATTCTTAATAAAAAGTGTTAAAGTGTATCTGGTCAGCAAGATGTGTGATTTTTTTTTTTTTTGGCCTTGATAAAAACATATTAAACCTGTGTTGCTTCAGTGAATCAAAACAACAAATTGCATGACTTAGATGTCAAAGGAGACATGTTATCAGATTTTCCAGGCCATAATTTTGACATCATTAAAATCTCATTATTCATCAGCATGAAGTTAGCCGAGACGAAAGCAAAAAGGCACATCCCCTCCAACTTTTTCAGCATAAAGAATCCTGCATAGAATAAAGTAACACAATGCACTACAGAAATACAAGGCTGGTGATTAATGTGCACTTCGGCCACGTCCTTGTCACTTCCTCTCCTTTGTGCTGCCACAAATGAGATCTCGGAAGTCAGCTCCCTGTAGAATTTCTCTTGTTTCCCAGAAGAACATAATATAACAACCCATACCTTTGGCATCCCAAAGAAAATTTAGCCTTAAGAATATAATGTACCTCATAATACATTTACTGCCGTAACCACTGCATATAACCAAAAGATCACTCGCCATGGATCAGTTAGTTTACCCCACACATATGAAAATATTTTCCTGGCTATACTTTTAAAATCATGAATTTGTTCCCTTTAAATTTTCTGTAAAGTCTGGGAAGACAGCAAGTAAAAGCAAACTCTGTATAAAATGGTTATTGGTGAATTCCTTAAAGAAAAAAAACATAGTCCAAGGCACTTCTGAGTGTTAAGTTTCAGTGAGAAATAAATGAAAATGGCAACTGTGAAAATGGAAGTTGCAATTATATCATTTAGTCAAAGCCTAGTAAATGACAAGATGCCCTTACCTCCATACAATGGTTTAAAGAGTATTTTCTATTACTTTAATTGGAGAGCCAGCATCTCTAAACAAGAGAGTAGTGATTTTCTGATGCTTCATTCCTCCAAGCTTTAAGATATAACCATCATACATAACAAGGCTATGTTTCTCATCTGGATTAGTAAAACCCCTTTCATACAACATAGACTTGAAGGATCTTAACGAGAACAGAGTTGGTTAATAAGCAGGAAGTTAACAAGCCTACAGGTCTGCAAAGGGTGAACTACATAAATGCAAGTAAAAAAAGTTAACAGGTACAACTAAGTCAATTGGTTTACACTAGTACAAACCAGGCCAACATGGCATCAGACTCTGCCCTTTTCTTCAATACAAAGAGATTTCACTGAAGACAACCACATTTTGGAGCAGTCGCAGAAAATACACATTTAACTATCATTATATAATGGGAAAACAGGCCCCAAGGTTGCCAAGAAAATATGACACTGCTACCAGAAAAAAACTCAAAGGGGAGTGACACTTTTTTTTTTTTTTTTTTTTAAAACAAAGATTCAATTAAATTGGGTTTGTGCTATGGATAAGTACATAGCTAGAACCTCATTTATCATTGCTCATTAAAAATGAAATCAGTACAGTGCTCAGGCTAGAGAACTTCTCATGAGCTTTACTGCAGCAGCACAGGACAGGTGAGAGAAAACAAAAGCAGAATCTGGCCAAGTGCTGCTCTCAGTTCTGCTGTTAGCCGAGGACTTTGAGAAATACCGACTTTTGCTTAAGTTTCTGCAGCTGTAAAGTGCTCAATGCACTGATGAATCTGAAACATACGCTCTAAGGTTAATTTTTCCAGTTTCTTAGTAAGTGAAACCTTGGGTATTTCTTAACTATCTCACACAATGCTTTTTTTCCAAGTGAAAGCAACCTAAACATACAAACCAGTTGTGCAGACTGCCATGGCAACAAATTTGAAGTGTGAAACGTTTCCTCTGTTGCATTTCCTTTAGCTTTCCAGTATATATCAGAACACTTTAACATATGCTGAATACATTCTTTTTCCATCAGGAGAGAAGAGGATCTATTATCTACTTTGTCATTCCACTTTCTTCCCACCAAGTCCTGTCCTTACCTTGGAAGTCCATGTGATTTCCTTGTATTCCTCCCTTCTAAAGAACTGGCACTTTTAATTACATTCACAAGAATGGTCAAAATTATTCACAGTCTACAGCAGGCAGAATTCTTGTATTATTACAAATCATGACAGTAAAACATTTTTAAAACACCAGATTCTTATTATACCATTTATGAATTAAATATACAATTATATTTAAAAAAAATACTTCCTACCAAAAGTTCTTTAAAACAAATAATTTGTAACCAGAAAGAGAATCCATTTTATCTAGTTTAAAAGTACTTGATAATGCATTATATTAAAAAAATAAATAAGCAGCAGCATAAGTAGTCCCAACTCAGAGACCTGGAGAGAAGACTAATAAGAAAAGAAACAGATTTACAATTAAAGACCTCTTGCAGGAACTGCACCTGCAAGCATACTGCCCAACAGTCGGAATAATTCTCCCATAAAATTGCAGAGAAAGTGCTCAACTCTGGATAAAGTTAACCTTCAAAACCACAGAATTAATCTCCTAAATTAAAGTGGTTTTATCACAAATCTCACTGATATCGATAGGAAGTTCTACGCATTACTCTGGTGGGTTGACCCTGGTTGGATGCCAGGTACCTATCAAAGTTGCTCTGCCACTCCCCCTCCTCAACTGGACAGGGGAGAGAAAATATAATGAAAGGCTCATGGGTCGAGATAAGGACAGGGAGAGATCACTCACCAATTGCTGTCATGGGCAAAACAGACTCCACTTGGGGAAACCGATTTGATTAGTAATAAATTAAACGAGAGTAGGATAATGAGAAATAAATCCAAATCTTAAAAACACCTCCCCCCCGACCTCTCCCTTCTTCCCAGGCTCATCTTCACTCCCAATTTTCTCTATCTCCTCCTCCCAGCAGCACAGAGGGATGGGGAATGGGGGTTGGGGTCAGTTCATCACACGTTGTCTCTGCCGCTCCTTCCTCTTCAGAGGCAGGACTCCTCACTTTTCCCCTGCTCCACTGTGGGGTCCCTCCCGTGGGAAACAGTCCTCCACAAACTTCTCCAACGTGGGTCCTTCCCACAGGCTGCAGTTCTTCATGAGCTGCTCCAGCATGGGTCCCTCCCCTGGGCTGCAGTCCTTCAGGCACAGACTGCTCCAGCGTGGGTCCCCCACGGGGTCACAAGTCCTGCCAGAAAACCTGCTCCAGTGTGGGCTCCTCTCTCCACAGGGCCACAGGTCCTGCCAGCAGCCTGCTCCAGCGCGGGCTTCCCACGGGGTCACAGCCTCCTTCGGGCATCCTCCTGCTCCGGCGTGGGGTCCTCCCCGGGCTGCAGGTGGAGATCTGCTCCACCGTGGACCTCCCTGGGCTGCAGGGGAATCTGCTCCGGCGCCTGGAGCACCTCCTCCCCCTCCTCCTTCACTGACCTGGGGGTCTGCAGGGCTGTTTCTCTCACATATTCTCACTCTTCTCTTTGGCTACAGTTGTGCAGGATTTTTTTCCCCCCTTCTTAAATACATTATCCCAGAGGCACGACCACCGTTGCTGATGGGCTCAGCCTTGGCCAGCAGCAGGTCCGTCTTAGAGCCGGCTGATATTGGCTCTGTCAGACATGGGGGAAGCTTCCAGCAGCTTCTCACAGAAGCCCCTCCTGTAGCCCCCCCGCTACCAAACCCTTGCCACACAAACCCAATACAATTACCAATTACAAAATGAATTGAAAAACCTAATTTTAGCAACAGCATTTGCAAATTTAAGCTAAAATTTATCTTGAAGCTGGTAGAATTTCCACAACTATTTCTTAACTCATCTCCAAAACCTTTAAAAGATCATTTTGGAATTAATTCTGGTATTAGGCTATCAAAGCTGTTTTAGAAACTCCATCTGGTGGTCACTAGCAGAATACTCTTGCAGTTCCCAAAAGCAACAAGATCAGTAAAACTAATTAAATGATTTAAGTTAATCATTAGGGGGGAAAAAAAAAAAAATCAGTCCCAGTTTCTGGTTAAACACAGATTTGTACTAGCTGGTCCTGTCTGCAGGCAGTAAGGGTATTGCTGCAAGTATTTGTAGGAAGAAACAAAATAAGCTGTAACTTCTACAACAAACTGCTGCTGTGAGGATGAGGCAGGTAAGAGGAAATTTTGTTGCAAGAAACAAATCTCAACAATGGTTAATTTTGGTTTTAAACCTCACAGAATCATATTTAACCGTGCTATTAGGTCTGATTATTCACAAGAAAAAAATACTTATAAAAAAGCATATGTTTCTTGTATTGTTTTATAAAACATCTGGTACTAGTAGTCATCGTGGTTGACAAGATGCTCAAAGATCAAAGGAAGTGCCATTCCTATTCAGCTCCAGAACATTGTAATTCTTTCTAATTAAGTTATGGTTTCACTAGTTCACAATGAAATAGATTTCATACTTAATTAATACAGCAGTTTCCGAAATTTTTCAGGTCAGCCTATGTGCAATTAAATAATCATTCCAGCACCTGCACTGCTATGCAGAGATCAGATCTCTTATAAAACTTGCCATTAGGAAAAGCTTCTTTCCACCCTTTAATAGAAGTAGAGTATTATTTGGAAATACAGGCAATCTTTGAGCTCTCATAGCCGAGTTATGTAGATGATCTACCCATACTGAGGAATTTATTTTGTGATTGA